GAGCGCAGCCGAGCGCAGACGAGCGATGACGAGCGAGCGCTCGGCGTCGCTCGGCGCTCGGCGTCGCTCGGCGCTCGTCTTCGCTCGGTGTTGCTGGGCGTCGCTCGGCGCTCGGTGTCGCTCGGCGTCGCTCGTCGTCGCTCGGCGCTCGTCGTCGCTCGGCGCTCGTCGTCGCTCGGCGCTCGGTATCGCTCGGCGTCGCTCGGCGCTCGGTGTTGCTCGGCGTCGCTCGGCGGTCAGCGTCACACGGCGTTGCTCGACGCGAAAGATTTCAAGATAATCCTTCCGACACTCTCAGAAATTCGATTTTCAGATAGATATATAAATATATAGATAAATATATAGAGGCGTACAAAAATATAGATTTTTATTTTAGAAAGACATTCTCAGAAAGATATATAGAAAAATTCGCAGATAGATATATAAATAAATATAATAAAAATCTCTCATTCATAGACTAATAATGAAACATAAATATACAGACCTCCAATCAGACATAGAGATAAATAGAGAGATATATAGAATTTTTATTTTCTATCTAATAATATAATATTATCAAAATTCCCAAATTTTAAAAAAGATAGTAATATATACTAAAACAATCAATATTTCAGAAATTTAGTATCGAACAAGAAATGTTTCCATTATCAAATTTTTGAAATTTAGGACTTCAAGGAAAGAAGAAAAATAACTAACCTTGATTAAGATTCATAAAATTTTATTAAGGAATCAGAAATCAAAAATCGATAGAATATTTTCATATTTCGCTATATTTCTATGTATGGAAGAAATTTTATAAAATCATTTCTTGAAATCATTCTAGATTATTCAAGAAATTTTCATAAAAATGAATTTATCTATCGTAAATCATCTAATTGAGATAATGTTGAAAATCAATATTGGGTTAATTCAATCTCATGATCAGGGTATTATTATTTTATATATTCAATTATAATATTCGTAGTTTCGAATATTTTAGATTAGTAGATCAAATGATTATTTGTTTGTTTGTGAAATATTAATTTGCGTTTTGTAATATTATAGGATGTGGTCTTTGGGTTTCAAGATCTTTGGATCTTGTAGATTTGTTTTCTTGTATCAGATAGTCTGGGTTCCCGAATCATCAAGAATTAATTTGTGAGGTTTTCTGAGATATGGAGATTCGGTTCGGGTCTGAGGTTTAAGTTTCGATATAATAGACGAATTTAGAAATATTTGGAATCTTCGGTTTTGGGATTTTCGGGCTTCTGGGTCGGGCAACAGTATTGAGATGATTCACGGACGGCCAGTTGCCCATCTGGACCACTCGGAGCTACATTTTGGGCTTTGTTCGGGGATCGTTCTGTCCGAATTGGGGACATCGTCTCTTTCATCCCGAAAACCTCGACACCCTTTGTAAACCCCAAACTCCCGAAAACCTGAACGCAACAAGAAGCTAAGGTTATAATGATAACTTTGCTGTATTGAGGGCGTCGTCTTTAGGCCGTCCCCTTTCGTTGTACAGGTCACACGAGCATTTGCCATATTCGTCGACCACCTGCTCTAACACAAATATTCGATAAATTTGACACCAGCTCATATTATCTTTTGTCAGGCTCTCGAATTTTCCTCCAGCAAGATTTTGTCGGGCCTCTGGTCTGCGGGGCTCGCTAAGGGTTAAAACCACAGGAGAAATGTGTGCTCAGAGCGCCTTCAGGGAATCTTCAGGGCCATCGTGGCCTCTTTGCTGGCCTTTATCGAAGGGACCTCCTGAAGGTTTTCAAAGTGACAGCGGAAATGCTGACCGGAGCTCTCAGCTTCGTCGAAGCAGTCGCAGCCCTCACCCGCAAGCAGCAGCATGCCTACTTCTGAGATCACGGGCCTCAAATGGAAGTGGCTCTCGAACCAGGTAGTGCAGGATTGCATGTCAGGATAGATGCAACTGCACTTCGTCTCGCCGTCCTCAGTGACGGCACTGCACTCCGTGGCACCGAAGGAGAGGGTCTGGCAAGCCTCCTGGGAAGGCGTCTCGATGAGGCGATGCTTGTTCTGCGTCACCTAGCTGCAGACTGATTGAGGCACGCGCACCCCCACCCCCACCCACACCCGCCTGCGCACCCGCGCACACGCTCACATATGCACACACGTCGGAACTCGACCCCTGAAGTTGGAAACCATCAAACACGGTTTGCAGGAGGGTGCTTGCTGAGACCAAGTTGCCATGAGGAGAGTGTCGGCCGATGCTTCATCTGTCGTGGAGATGTAGTAGGTGGAGATCCCGCCACCATCCACCACAGGAAGCACGGGCATAGCTTCCTTCCAAGGCTTAGATGGCCCTATACTCCAAAAGTCTGACAAGCCACTCCTACAGACCAGCATGACATTCTGCCGGTAATTTCCAGTTCTAAATTTTGAAAAGGCTGGGGCCTTCACAGCCGATGCAACGCAGGAGTTGTGACTCTCGTCGAAGATGTCCGCTCCAGGGCACTGAGAAGAGCAGCTTTGCACACACTCCCCGGAAAGCCTGGTTGTTGCGAAGAAATTAATTTACGTCAATGTTACTTAATTTATGAGGATCTACAGTAAACAATAGGGTTCCTTGTCATGGTAACTTAAGTTCATTAAGCAGAGCCCAGAAGCAGGCAGGAGGCACCTTGGCTCGGCGAACAACCACGGGAGGAGAGGAAACCCCCTTCCCATGATCTGCGATCACCACGCCATCCCCGGCCACCACACTTGAAGAGCGGATTCTGAGATGAATCCACCAACCCCAACCAGCAGTGAACGGTATCCCCAGCCTTCCGGTGCGTTTCTTGCGCAGCTTTGCTACGAAGTTGGTAAAGAACACAGGAAGGATCCGAGCAACAGGCTTCCTGGCAAATAGCGTGGCCATTGAAACCGGTCGCCTCGGACATCTTCACCACCACCCGGCTGAGGCCCTGGCACTGAGTTGCATCCAAAGCAGTTCCCTCAAAGTCCTTCTCCCAGCTGCTCGGGTCGCAAATGCCTTCCTCGGCCGTCCGCCGGCAACGCTTCTCATTCTCGGCACCCAGCGTGAAGCCAGTGCACTCTGCGCAGCTCTCCACACACTTCTGGTCCGATGGGCAAAGGAAGCCGCCCTCGCAGTCCGCCTGCGATTGCGATGCATCCAGCAGCCCGCCGTGCCAACTCAGCTCTGGGGCCTGGTTCGGAAGTTCGGCTGTACTCAGCCAGCATTCCCCGCGACCGACGCGCAACTGATAGAAGCGGCAATCTGTCTGCTCCTGGCAGAGATCCTCGCAAGTCACTGCGGCGCAGGCATCTGCACTCAAGGGGCGCATGCCGCAGCTCTTCGGCTTTGCAGCTTCCAGAGCAGAGTTTGGCACCTTCTTGAGTCCCATGACTTGCACGAAAAGCTTGGAATCCTCTTGAAAGCCCCCTTGATCCTTGACTTTCCCTACCCATTGCTCACACTTCTCGGCCGTAAACTGCGAGGACTCACCCAGCCAGCACTTTCCGACCGAATTGGTGTCAAACTGGTAGAGAGAACACTTCTTGTCGTCGCAACATGCTTGCTGGCAACTTCGTTGCTGGCACGAGAGGTCCGATGCTGAGCATTGCGTTGGCACGGAGACCCACCTGGCAGCTACCATAGTCTTTTCCCCCTTGCACTCTTTTTGGCATGCAGAAGTGTCTCAAATATCGCACATCCCCCTTACTGGGCTTCCTTGGAATTTGCAGGATCCACTACAACGAATAGCACATGGGGGTTTCCGAAAATAATGGACCCTAATATAGTACCCTAAATAATAGGATCCCTATTATAAGGACCCCAAAATAAGGTACCCTTTAAAATCTTATTAGGGATCCTACTATAATTTAAGGTATACCCTAAACCCTAAACCCTAAACCCTAAACCTATATTAGGGTACCCTAATTTTCTGACATTCCCACATTGCTCCACTCGAAGGTGAGAGCTGAGCATCACGGAGACACAAAGCGATCAGCTCAAAGGCCTGAAACGCATTGAACCCAGAGACTCCCATACCCCTTAGTTAAGGAACATACCTTAAAGCTCATTAGTGATCCTACTATGATTTAGGGTATATTCCTTAATTAAGGGGTAGTGATCCTACTATGATTTAAGGTATATTCCTTAATTAAGGGGTATTGGAGTCTCTGGGAAGTTCCCAAATTCTAAAGCTCTCTACCCCCGTGTTTTTGCGCCTCTCGCCTAGCTAGGGCGAGCACTCTTGGGGTTAGGGTTTAGCTTTCCGGCCTCCCCTAACCCGCGAACCAACGCAGGCCTGAGACCATTGCATCTCGGCATCGGTGCACTTGAGAATCCCAGCATGTCCTCTTCCTCCTCGGGAGGATTCCCTAATTTTTAGCACTTCGGGCGAGGCCTGCAAAGGCTTCGGGATTGCAATAGTCCATCGCTTCTCACTGATTCATTTGAACACCAAAATTTTGCCGATCCCCTGAAACTCTGCAAACGTCTCCCCCTCGGCCCTAAGCCTTGAATCCGAACCGCAAACCTTGATTCCAAAACCCAAAACCCGCTCCCTAAACCCTAAACCCTAACTGTCCTCCTCCGTGGACGCTGAAGATCCCGAGGAGCTGCTTGTGTCATCAGTGTACCAGTCCACGAGAGTAGGGTCCTGAATAGTTAGAGGAGGATTTTTGGGCTTCCTTTGAGGATTCCTAGGAATTTTAGGTGTTTCCTGTTCAGGAATCCTAGGATTTTGAGCCTCCTTGTAAGATTCCTTTGATGGCTCTGGAGGATTCTAGTGTTAGAAAGGGAATCATAGTAGGAAGCCTAGAAAGTGGAGTCGCATTTGAATAGGCTCCTATACCAGGGTCCTCCAACCAAAGGTTTCTCGGGCAAATGGCACGATCATAGGCCACGGAGTGGAGGCTGTGGTGCCAGAGGGCCAGGGCACCTCGGTAAGAGACACAGACATCCAAGAAGACTCATGCAGGGAGCATAATAATTAGAATAGGGGTTTAGGGTATATTCTACTATTGTTGGAATAAGGAACCCCCAAAATAGTCTCGATTATTTTTTAAAGCCCCCTTTTTTCACATCCAAGAAAACTACGAACATGGCTCAAAACCCGCAGTCGTGCCTGTAGAGGCCATAAGAACAGCAGCCGCGGCCAGGGCCACCTGCTCCGAGGAAAGTCGGGAACGTCGAAGGCACTATAGGGACTCTATAGATCTTAGGGTTTAGGGTTTAGGGTCCTCTATGAGACGCGGGAGAACGGATGCTGTTCGCCTTCTTGTCCATCTTGGCCACCGCGAGTTGGGCCGGGGGAGGTTGAAGAGCCGAGTCGAGGCCAGGGATGTTGGGTGGGAGTTGGAGTCCCGGAAGGCTCTTGCGGAGGCCCTTGAGGCATGCGGCATGGTCGTAAGGGGGGACCCAGTCGGAGAGAACTTCACAAAGCTGATGTGGGTCTCGCATGATCTTTTGAAGCTCATAGAGCTGATATGCGGTTGTTCCGACAGAATAAGCCGTCCAGACCATGCCAAGAGGATTGCTCAAGGACAAGGCACCACCAACGACCTTGCCAATCAAGCCTGCCTTGGATGCAAGAGTCAAAGTCTTTGTTCCCTTGGCGACTGCACCAGCTACGCCTGCAGCCTTAACACCCTTGGACACGACGTTCGCAGCAGCTCCTGCTCCGGGAACTACTTCTCCTGCGACCTTGGCAGCCACCTGCACGGCGGTCACGGCAGGCTTGGCAAGCATTCCCACGCCTTTCGCTGCGGCTGGTGCCTCTTCCACCAAGAAGGCTGCAACATCAAAGGCAGGCATGAACTGACAATTACCACCGGCATACTTGCTAACGGCAGCAATGCCAAGACCCAGATTCGGAGTGCTTTGGTTCACGGTCAGGGACGCCTGGGCATGACTCTGGCCACGGAATGCGGCCACACATGGAAAGCCAACAATGGCCAATGCCATGAGGTGCACCATGGCAAGATGCATCTCACCTAGGGTTGCATTCATCAGACTAAGTCCTGTTAAGCCGATCTGAAGTGACAGGATTTATGCACTGTGCGCCGGGGGCATGCGCAGCTTCCACCCCACAGTGCCGGTCAATGCCGCGCAAATCCTCAAAAGGCACCCTTGTAAGTCGACGCAAAGGGCAGTAAGTAGTAAACAGGATCCCATTGGTCTCATCCCCCTTCGGGGGCGAGTCCGCTTGGATCGAGCTTGCTAGCGGATGCATCGCTGCATCGCGCTCATCCGTGGCGGCTCGGTCGCAAGTTCATAAGCCCTACTATACCATAAGCATCGAAGCCCCGCGCATCCGTTGGAGCTGCGCCAGACACCTTCCTGTACAAGTAACGAAGCCCAAGTACGAAGTGTCGGCTCAAGTTCATCGCCCCGAAACTGTAGCTCTGAGGGCATTCGGCTCTTGCTTCACATCATCTAAGCCTATATATTACTTGACATGTTCGACGAGTCTACGCTTGTGAGCATACTGAGGATGTGTACACATAGCTAGCACAAGCTACAATCTTGCTAAAAACACACAGATCTACCCAACGACACTGCACTAGGGCCCTGGACAAGTGATGTCCTCGCAGGGAAGCGTCCCGGGCACCACACAGGAAACCGGCCGATATGTGCCGGAGAAATCCACGAAAGGCGCCTTCCACTCCTGGTTGTAGCCCACTGATGCTTGCCACTCCTCCAAGGGTCCGGCTGAGGTCACATGGAATTTCTTTAACCTAGCAAAACCTACGTACCTTTTTGCTAGGGCTCGTATTAAGAGCCTGCAAAAACTCGGTTCATTGCGGTAGATTAAGGTTCCGGCATGTGAGATACAAGGGTTGAGGGCCTGCAGTTTGAGGCCTTTGCTACCTGTCCTGCTTCGCAGTTGCCAGGAAGACCGCCGCGCTTCCGTCATCCTGCGCGATCTAGGCCCATGCAATGCAATCCCAAACCAGGACACAAAGCCAGGCACTAGAGTTGCTTCGAACTTTTGTTAGAGTTGCTTCGGTACTTTTTTCCGTGACACGAACCTTGAGCATCGGGTAGAAGTCTGGATCGCCCGCGTTCCACTCAGTTCCCCATCCCAAGATCCGGCCGGAAGCCGTGCGAGGCATTCCAGGGCACTGGGATGGTACGAAGACCTGCTCAGGGCTGCGTGCGCAGACAGGAATGTCGAGATCGTGGAACAAAAACATTTTATGTAGACAGATCGAAGATCGGGAGCATGATCCCTATCGGGCGAAGATGTGGTGAGGAGCAGGACAAGAATCTCTTACGGTAGAGCGCATCTAGACAGTGAGGGGTCGCAAACCCCGGGATTCGGGAAGTCCTTCTCCCAGCTTTAATACTTGAGGGCTGTCTTGTGATGGTGGGTTGACGAAAGCCGCCAAGCTTCCAGAAAATCAATGCCCGCCCCCACCTCAAGCCCTGTGTACAGCAGAAGGTCTTCGTGCTTCGGGAAGCCGTGACAGAAATGGCTCTTGGGCCAATAACCCACCAGGTGCCTTGTGCTGGCTACAGATCTAGGCTTCCCATAATCCTTGCCAAGCTTTGCGAGGTAGAACTCCAGGCGCTCTGGCATCCCCTCAGTCGAACCGACGATCTTGTACAGGAACACCGATCGAAGCTTGTTGACGGTATATACGCCCAGGGCAGGTCCTCCGGGGTATTGGACGAAGCCACCCCAATGGTCGAAGCCGTTGCCACCCTGGCAGTCATCTCGTGGTAAGTATGCGTTGGGCGTGGAATAAACGAAAAGCCGGGTTCCGATGCTCTGGCTGCTCCTCGCATCAGAAATGCCGGTCAGGTCGGTAGTCAACCAGCCCGCTTCCAAGCTGACCGGAAGCTTCGACTCAGGGGGGACGCCTTTCCACCACATCTGGTTGAGGGTGTGGCCACCAGAGGAGGGCACCTCTGGCAGAGCTCCGATCTCGAATGCGGCAAAAGCCGTTCGACTGCCGTGCGTTTTGCAGATCGGGCTGGTGGAGTAGGTGTGATTCGGTGGCCCCGGGTGCGGCGGCCGAATCGTCCTGCCGAGCCAATTGCCATTCATCGTGACGACTGGGCCTACACCACAAGCTACGAAATATGCCTTACATATATACATATACATGTATGCATGCGCATAAAGGTATACACACATGGAATATTGTAATGTTATAGATAATCCCCAGAAGGAACTGAGTGGCAATCGTCCTGCAGTCATCCTTGCCAACTTGGAGCAGTGCTGAGCCGTGGTGGCCTCTAGCACTCGGCCAAAGGCCTGACAAAAGCTCGGGCTTGTGGTCTACCCATATATAGCCCCATGGTAGTTCCTTTCGGGGTTCATATCTAGAATCCTATAATGTAATCCTAAAAAGGAACCACTACGGGGCCTATGGGTAGAGGTTGTGGGGCTCGGGCTCCGGAGAGGTCTGGGAGAGGGCGGGGTCTCGGATACCCGCTTCGGCATGGTGTGATTGCTGCTCTTTCGCCCAAGTCCAAAAAAGCCTGCCTCCCGTGGGACTTCCCGTCTTGCGGAACTCTTCTACGAGTCCACGCCGCAAAGCCTCAGCACCAAAACCCCGCCCAGTTGACTGTCCTTTCAGTTTTTCAAGAGACATCTCATGTTGCAACTGGCAGCGTCATGCCAGGACAGCTGCCCTGAAGCCCATCCTCTGGGTGTACAGCAGCTTCTCAGCCCAGAACTCTGAGACTCTCAAACTGAAACTGTAACACCCCTAAACCCTACAGTATAAGCCCTGGCGGCTCCACAAACAACTGGCATCTTTTGCTACATTTCCAGGCGCAAACCACCGGTTCCAAGGTGCGATCCCCCCCAAACCCTAGGAGTATGTATGCTAAAAATCATTACACTAGTAATAATGATAATGAATAACAATAAAATATCTAGATCCTAATGAATGACGGTAAAATATCCAGATCCTAATGAATAACAACAAGATATCTAGATCCCAGCTTGCAGCTGAGGCAGCTTGCAGGCTCGGGCGCGGAAGAGGGACTTCGTCAGGTCCACAGCCATAACGCTCTGCAGGCTCCTGGTGTCAGTTTATGCCTCTACGTACAGGATCATGGGGCTTAGTAAGTAGGGTTATAACTAAGGTAACTGTACTTATAACCCCAGTTAGGGGACTTATAACCTTACTTACTAAGTCCCATGATCCTCCAAGTAGGGTTTCGGCGCTCACACTCGGACGTTTAGGGTTTCGGGTTTGGGACAACAGGGCCAAGCCAAGTCTGGCACCCTCGAATGCTCGCAAGCAGACTTAACTACCATATGAACAAGCCAGCGAATACATGGGAGTTGCACATTGCGACTGTGAACGCTGGCTCGAACCCCAAACCTCACCTATTTCGCTCAAGTCTTCATGGAAGCACCTGCTCCTCATTCGCTTCCTGCTCGCCTGCTGCATCTTCAACGTCCCCTTCCAAAGTGCTGTTTTCAGAACTCAGGGCTGATGAAGCAAATGCTACTATGTGTATGCATCCATCCATCCATCCGCCCAGGCATGCATGCATGGACGCATGTGCGCGTGCACATACATTAGTATATGGAACACAGGGATACATGCATACAGAGATACATACGGCCACGCATACATACGTGCATGTCAACATGTACACATGTTGGTTTTTGCATTTTTCCAGACACACATACATGTATACATATAGATATGTGTGTGTGTTTACATACAACTATAATTGTACATGTAGGTTTAGTAACATATCGTTGTCTAACGCAGACAGATCTTTCTTGCGCACTTCATGGCCGTCGTTCCCTTGAGGCCACTTGCCTCTGGATCTCGCCAACAATGCGACGGCCTCTTTCCTCGGTGACGACGACGGCATGCGGGTTTCGGGGTTTACTCTTTAGGGCTCTTTCTTTCAGACAGGCCAATGTCCGTCGCCTCTTAGCGAACTCAGACGGCATCAAAGGGTGCTGTGCCAGGTAGACCAGTACCCCTCGAGTCAAGCCTTGAGTTGAGTCATTTTATAAGGAACCCTAAATCCTAAACCCTAAACCTCCTTCATGTTCCTTCTATGTGTTGAGCAAAATTCCTTACTTAACTCAGTCGGATCGGGCTCTCTACGCACCTTGGTGCTGCCAGTTCGGGGTTCGTCTCTCACAGATGTGGAAGGCATGGTGCGTAGAGGTTGCGGTTCACTAGAATAACTCAGTAGCAGCGCATGATCGCAGTTTCGTCATAAAAAGAGACATGGCCCCTATCTATATACCCGTCTATCCATCCATCTATGTATCTGTTATCTATCCATCTACCTACCTACCTACCTACCTACCTACCTACCTATCTATGCA